GAGAGAGAGAGAGAGAGAGAGATAAATAGATAGATAGATACTTTATTCGGCCTTGGGGAAACCCTATCTGGCTCAAGTGGGTCAATATTACAAATACAATGTAAAAATACAATGATGTGCTATAATAAGCATTAACGTAGCAGTAATTTTGTAATAATATAACAATTGTTTAGCAGTAATATAGCAATAATATAGCAATAGTGTAGAATTAATATATCGCCAATAAAAACAAAATCATTACTTTCAATAAAGGCATATGTGGCAAAATTATTCTTGGCAGCAGTACAGCATAAGATTAATACTTGATGAATATGAATGATTGGATGCAACGAAGATGGTGCAAATGAGATATATATTAAGTAAATTCTCTCTGAGTATGATTGAAGAATAGGTATTACGTGATAGAAGGTCGATTAATTTTGAGGTCATCGTTTTATAGAGGATGGCGCTGTCGGTGAAGGTTGACTCAAGTGGCAAGCCTGACAGCAGGACCTCACAGTCGTCTGAAAGATGTTGAGGATGTTGAGGAGCAGGAGAACAATCAGCCGTTTGGATGGTCTGAACTGTTTTGGTGACATGAAGAAGCTCCTGTCTAATGGCTGAGATGGATTCTCCTGCTCGGTCAGACACTCATCTAGCTTGCCCATGGCCCTGGCTACGCCCTCCATCCGAGTCACAACTGCATCAATACAATCTCTGAGAAGTTTCATCCTATCCTCAAAACTATCTTCAAAGAGCTTGATAATTTGATCCATGAAAACATTCGCCCACTCAGGTATACTATTGTTTGAAGAGGTCATGATGATAATGGTGATAATAGAAGGAAGCAATGAGGAATTATGGACTGGTGTTAATAAATATCGAGAAAATTGGTAAAGGAAGGAAAGCTATGGTGTGTGCAAAGTGAAAGTATTGTCAACGGGAAGAGAAAGATGTGTTGAGGAAGAATAGGCTATGCACATGAGTAGTGAGAGATGTAATGATACAGTATAAGCTCAAGTTAATACCCACCATGTTCGATTCAAATACACGGTCACGAACACTCGCACAAGCACATGTAATCAGCATCACACAAGGATCCATCATCACACCGATATCCCAAACCAATCGGTGAAAATCTGCGCCTCTTCGTTGAAATAGAGGGTTTTCTTGGCTCCTTGCTTGGCTCTTCCTTCACCCTGAAGATTACCCTAGCAGACAGATGCTGTGCGATGTTGAGCCACCTCTATGCGCATGACTTCGGATGCACGATATTGGAAACTAACCTCCAATGCCGGTAAAGAATATAAAAAGTAATTGTAGACAATGCAAGGGTAACAGCCGTGATAGTGATCCGGTTGTAGTTGACCCTTGCAAAATTAGCGTGCTAGAAACTGCAAGAAAAACGCCCGTAGGCAGATCGAGGCCGTACAAAAAGCAAGAAATAGAGGAGCAGAAAGAAAATCGTGCTGTTGTACTTACTTAGAGAGAGAGAAATTAACAGAATTTATATTTATATAAAACAGCTTATGATAGCGGAAGTAATAAACAAGTGTGCCTCTGCATACCGGCACTTGGCAATGAGTCCTTGTATATACACTAGGTGTACCCCCAGGTTTCCCTTGCCCCACAGGTCCTCGGATCTGGGCAAATGCGAGACAGTAACGAGGGGGGGGGGGATAGTAGTAATAGCCTCCTGCAGGCCCTTCTCTAGAAGAAGAAGTAATAGAGAGAGAGAGAAAAAATAAATAAATAAAAATCAATGTGCGGTAAGGGGAACAAGATTTTTAACCGAACATCAGTTGTTGGTGTCTTGCCATTTGATTTGATTGTTTGACGCCAAAGTCGATAAATATTACGTGGAAGCACGGAAGAAGCACGAATGCGCTCTTCGTTCCTAATTTCAAATAGCTGACACATCGAAAGTTCACGCAACCCAGGTGAAGGGCTTATCGCCTGGTCACGAATTAAAGGACTAACAATTGAACAACAATTTTCCATGTCGTTGGGCGTACAGAAATATGAGCATCCCGGTCGATTCTCTCGCACACCCGGACTATATGATTTTCAAATCGAGCCAGTCCCATTGTTTTTAAAATTTTGACAGCTGTCTTGGAGGAAGCAGTATCCAATTCATGTGAAATACCGCTGAACCTGACCTCACACGGGTCTTCAAAAGTTTCTGGTAAAGTAGTTGGCAATAGGACACAGATGTAGTTGAGATGTAAGCCCGTACCTCTTCAACTTCGCTCATAAGGTCCTTATGCATAGAAGCAAGTTTATCGTTGCAATCCACCTGGAGTTCTTCTGTTGCAGCTGACTTTTGACACAAAGCATCCATGTGTTGTGTGATTCTCTCAAGCAGCGACAAGCGATGAGAAAGCTCGTCAAAACACCTGTCGAAGCGTTCGAAAATTCTTTTCTCGAATTACAACAGCCAGCTGGCTGATACATGGCCACGCTCGTCAGAAGTATTCTTGTCCATTTTCGGAATCGTAGCAGAAATGCACACTGGCCGGATGGATTATCACCCGTCATACAACGGCAGATAGAAGCAACGAGCAATTCTGTGGTGTCTCTGTGCTACTATGCGAGGATACCGGCAACAGTGTTGAAGATGAAGGCAATGATAATGATGAGAGACACGAGTGAAAGGCAAAGGTAGTGGGGTTTGAAGGAACGCAATGACGACGAGAAACGAGCAGAACAAACGATACAGGGGAAGTCGTACCACTTCCTACTACGCCGCAGTAGATCGAGTAGAGAGATGTTGAACTTGGTGTCACAATATGATCGGCGCAGAGAGCAAAAGTCAGGTCCAGCGCAGATAAGCCAGTATAAGTAGAGGGGAGAGAGATGGTCCACGGAAGAAATTTTCTTCTGATATTTCGAGAATCCTAACCTCGACAAAATTTTTAAAGGCAAAACAAGGTAAACCCTAGCTCAGAGGGTAAGACCAAGCCAAAGAACTCATACGATACAAGAGCCACTGTGTGCCTGGTCTGCCTGAAATATCAGAATCACTCGAACGAGTTAAAGAAACTATTAAAAACAGCACTTTAAACGGAGCTCCACAAAATATGTCTGCTCGTACTTACGGTGAGAGAGAGATTAGATTAAATTAGATTAAATACTTTATTGAGCATTGGGGCTGACCCCGTCTAGCACTTGAGCAATACATAGTTGAAGTAAAACATTATGTCAAATAGTACCAAAAAAAATATAGATAGTTATAATATTAGTAATAATTTAGCAAATAAGTAATAAAATATTACAGTAAAAAGTACAATGCTCGTAGTAATTTAGTTATAATATAATACAAATGGAAATTGAAAAGATTATTGAATAAAAATATCAGTGATGAAAATGTGTGAAAGCTCTCACTCTGATTTTGACGCTTACAGTTTGAAAAAATGACTTTTTTCATTGGTTGCATTAGCGATGAGTTGAAAAAGATTTTGGTGGAAAAAAGTGCATTAAGGAGACCTCCCTTCTCCAAATTAAAAAGGAAAAATGTTTTTTCGAAGATTTATTTGTAATAGAATAAAACGACATATCTTTATGAAACTTTTTATACATATTTTCTTGACCTTATACTATACAAAAGATTTTTCGAGAAAGGTGGGACAAAAACCTATCAAACAATGCATTGACACTTTTTCAATAGATAATTGTGCTGAGCCATTTTTTTGAAAAAGTAATTACACTTTTCTTGTTTCACGCAAAAACCACGTTTTTCGGCACAAATTGCTTATAACATCTGAAATAATGCACTATTCTACATTTTTACGCCTATTTCTGAAAGGTGACAAAATTTCGCATTGAAATACGGGGCGCTCATGGTTGTCATTTTTTTTTTGGGGTTGGCTCCCACTCATTCAAAGAGAAAAAATAGATTGTCAAATCTTATTTAAATCGGAAATCAAAATGATCGTTGAGCGACGAGTAAATAGTACTTTACGATACTAGTGGCATAAGTAACACTTTTTGGTACGGTGTAGTTTAGGGCCTGAGCGCAGCGAGGGTCCTAATAGCTGGGCCGAAAAGTGTCTCCTATGGCCCGAGTATCGAACATCATTTTATAGTACTGTGAAAAGTTCACATTTATGCCCCCTTTTCCGAGCCATGAGTCGCACTTCTAGTAGCGCGAAGTGAGGTTAGCGCACGAGCGACGCTTGTCGAGCGTATGCGAGTGTGATGCGAACGCAGCAGTGCCACAATGTGCCGAAAAAGCGTGCCATAAATGTGAACTTATGCCACGCAGTGCTATAAAATTATTTAAATGGGCTAAAATTTGCGGGGCTTTATTTTTTGGCATATGAAATACATTAAGATTGTAAAATCGAGGTTTTGAAAACCTTCGTTTTTTTCCAATCAGTCTAGTGTACAGTGTAGAACATTTTGCTCTCATAAAGAGGTAAAGGTAAGTTTACAGTATGATGTACAAGTTTGCTGATAGTATGCCCTTGCAAACTAAAATACCACACTGATAGAGGAAGGTTGACTGAAAGACGAGACGATACAGAGTTCTATGAATATATTCTATATGCATATATTCTATCTATTGCATATACTTAATACATATACATCTTATGTATTAAAAAAAGTGTTACCGCCAAAAGTGGACTTAAGTGCAAACCGAGGAAAGGCAAAACGACTTAAGTCTATATTTTTTGCTCCGTATCATTGCTACGATGCGCCTTTCAATTTCATAAGTATATACTTCAAAAGCTACCTCATAGTAGCTTAAAACAACATAGGTTCAGATCTGAACTCGTCCGTGTCTAGTTTAGGCTGGCCCAGTAAACTTAAAACGCGTTTGTCTTGAAAATACGAAAAATTGACTCAAGTCGTTATGCCTTTCCACCACAGAATATATTTTCTAGAAGTAATTATTCAACCATTTACAATTTTACTCATATTGTGATAAAAATAATGTAAATAGACATAATTTTATTGATCAATATTTTGTTACAATAAGTTTTGTTTCCATTTATTTGAATCCAACTATTTTGTTTTAGGATGAACTGGCAAAAGATCAAATTATACGTAAGTTTTTTCTACCACTTATGAATAAGCTATTACTTCATGCAATAGGTGTGGATACGGTTTTTTTGCAAAACTAGAAGTCATGGAACGAGTTGAAGATGAGGGCGAGTAAATTTTTTTTTAACACTGCGTGCGCGAAACACGGGTTTTCTAACCTTAAAGCGTCAGAAAACCCTAGTTTCTCGCAAACAGAGTTAAAAAATATCGTTTGCAACTAGTCCACGAGGAAGTTGACTCACCCAGGAGTCTTTGCACCCTCGGTACGCTCGGGTGAAAACAACTCCTGGATGAGTCAACTGCTTCGCGCACTTGTTACAAAATATACTAATTTAAAACGCGATTGCATGCCCTTGGAAATGACCGTGAAAAAGGGCATATTCAAAAGTAAAATTTTACACTCCTTTCAAAATAGCAATGAAAAGTGAAGTTAACCGTGTACGAAATAAATTTTCGTTTTTTTGTAGCTTTTAAGTTATATTCAATGTCAAATTGAAAGTCACCAATGAATTACGCCCAAAAAATTATGGTATTTTTCACACCAGCGGTCCGAAAATGACTACTTCCCAGCCGCTGCGCAAAGCGGAAAGAGAGATTTTCGGGCCCCTATGTATGAAAAATAGTATACAGGCCTATGCCGCGAAAAAAGAAAGCCGCAGAGCACGTGTTTATCGGCCTCGGCTTTGCCTTGGCCACCAATTACATGTACTCTGGGACTTTTCTGTTTTTCGCGGCCTAGGGCAGTAATGTACTATTTTCCTCCTCCTCCTTCTTCCCACCTTTTGCTTATTCAGAGAGATTTTGAAAAGTTATTATATTTCGACCGTCGTTCGACCTCGACCGAGTTTTTCGAGATATTTAGCTTGGCACTCCCTCCCAAACCGAGATACTGCACAGCCGTAAATCGTTACTCATGGGACGGAGTTGGCCAAATGCACACGACCGGTGACACGAAATTGTCAAGCACACTCAGCATTTTATTTATGAATTTCGCAATTTTTTTTTTTAATTTATATATGCCGATGCTGTCAGATTTGTCTCTTACGAATTGTCAAATTTCATTTAATTATTATTCTTTAATTTTCTCTTTTGATCGAAGAAAAAAAAATTAAATACTCTCGACTTTCTTTTAACAGTCTCATAAAATTTATTATTTAAATTATTTCGACTTGACAAGCATTGACATATATGTGCTGAAACACTCACTGCTATTTAATGGAGTTTAATACTATCACTTTGATTACTTTACTTGACGCGATAGTCGATACTTCATTTGTGAACGTCATGGGATGTATAATCGACACAAGTAAGCTTTCAATATACTTGTTACAGTTTACGACGTAACCTTTCTCAATGAAAAAGAAATTATTAAAACTGCGAGAAGCAGCTAGCGAGCGGCTACGCATGAATTACAATTTAATGTATCTCACGTATCTCCTATGCATAATTTCATTAACACACACACGACAGAAAGTAACATCATTTCGGACACGCGCAGCCAGCGTAAACAATGCCGAATTGAGCGGCCTAAAATCCATTACCTATTTATTAGGCCTCTGCTATTAAACTCTTGCGAAAATATAATTCGCACGGCAAAGAAATGAACACGCGCGGCCGCGAGTGTGAATGAATATCTGAGAAAAGCTGTAAAACTGCGGTGACCGCGACTTCACGAATTTTGGGAAGAACGCGGGCTCGGGTCTGCTAATATACACGCGCGTGCAAGATATGTGTCAATTATTGACCCATATCGAGCTCGCTACATACGCTGCAACCGCTGAAGCGGGGGCAACTTTAGGTGTATAGAAGCAACAGTAAAAGAGGATCAGTCCTCCTTCATATCTACGAAATCGTACACTACGTGTCGATACTTGTAATCATTTAACTAAAATCAAAGTTATAAAATATATCACTCGTATCTGTAAATGCATTGTATGCATATAATTCGAGTAACGTCAACTGTGTAAATCAATTGTATTAGCTTCATAATAACTGTGTTTGTGTGTGTGCCACACCATCGTCGGCGATTCCGAATAAAGAACTGTAAGTTTATTATCATATTTCTGACATTGTACTTCATTCCACCCACCCCTACGCAACAAGTTATAATAATTAAATAAAAGGGTTTTCTGTTATAATTCCGACTACGGAGTATGTAACACACTAGTCGAACGGGCCTAGTTCTCGTGTACTTTTGTTGTCTGCTTGGCGTACAGTGACAAAGACCTTGCCTGCCGTCTTCTTCTACGCGCGTACCGACGACACAAGATGGACGCCATGCGCTACTCGTGGGGAAGAACCCGAACTGGAAGAGAGACAGACGACAATTTCTGCACGCTCATTTGTTCGCGCTCCCTTCACTTCACTTTGAAAATTTTGTATGATGCGGCCATTTCTCGGCCTGTTGCAAAAATCCAAAATCTTCCAAAAAAAATTCTGAAAAAATTCACACGTATTCTTCAAACCAATTGAAACACTTTTTACTATATGCCTATTCTTTAAAAAGTTAATAAATTCCTTGTAAAAAATGAGGGAATTTTCATACCGTTGGTCGGTATAAATTCGCGGCCGTTTAAGAAGTATAGGCGCTAGACAGAAATTGCAGCATTGCGTTTCTTGAAGATTCAGAAAAAAAGTGCACGATTGCTGGTGTTATGGGAACCCTCCGAAGGCAGGGCAAGGTAGAAAATCGTCGTTGAAAAAAAATTTTAAGTCAAAAAATCACGTTTTTTTTTTAATTGCAAAATAATTGATGTTAATGTTTATTTATCGGAAAAATAAGAGCAGATTCTAAAAGAGCATACCCAAAACCCCCTTTACATGGATTTTCAAGTAAATATTTTAACTTTATCTGAGACTTTTTTACAATTGACAATTCATGCACAAAATTGCACTTTTGCACGTTAATGGGTTAAAAAAATATTTTGATGCCTCAGAGAATAATCACATCTTACTGTAGTAAGAAGCTTATGAAAAGAAATATCCCATCACGGCACGCATTGCGTGAGATGTACTCTGCATCCCAGCAATATCTGTGCCATGCGAGAGTTTGCGTTTATTTACAATATGGAAATTCAACATGGTGGACACCAAAATGGAGTCTCGTAAAAAAACCATGTATAAACTTGGTTAATTTTTTTATTTGCTAACTAAGCATCTAGGAAAAAATCTTTACTTAGAAAAAGTTCTTAGAATTATTTAAAAAAGACCCCTGAATTTTTTCAGAATTTTCCGGGAAAATTTTTGGATTTTTGAAAATGGTCGGAAATCAAAAATATAAAAAATGATCCGAAAAAATCTAAAAAAATTCAGACATGTTCTTTGAAATATTCACAGCGTTAAAATAATTATAATTTAATATTTTTACTTGAAAATGAGGAACTTAACGAAAAAGTGTTATACGTTATAAAAGTCTTAGAATATTTCAAAGAACGTGTCTGAATTTTTTAAGATTTTTTTGGACAATTTTTTATATTTCTGATTTCCGACCATTTTCAAAAATCCAAAAATTTCCCCGGAAAATTCTGAAAAAATTCAGAGGTCTTTTTTGAACAATTCTAAGAACTTTTTCTAAGTAAAGTTTTTTTTGTAGATGCTTGGTTAGCATATAAAAAAATTGACCAAGTTTATACATGGCTTTTTTTAACGAGGCGCCATTTTTATCCACCATGTTAAATTTCGATATTGTAACTATTGGACTTTTATGTCTACACCCTATGGACGAAAAAAATATGTGTTAGAACTACGGATCAAGTTTCTTTTGATTCGAAAATTTAGGTCGAATCAAAATTTTTTTCAAAAAGCTTGTGTCTTCTGTTGTTTAATTGTTCATAACTTTTGCTCCTCAACTTTTATGACAATTCTGACACCAGATTCGAAAAGTTCATAAAATTTCACGACAAAATGACTATTTAAATATTTTTCAGATATTTTTTTCACAGAGTTTATAGCACCGGAAAAAATGTGGGAAATTTTGTCCGTTCTGATAAGTTTATTAATTATTTTTGAATCTCGACTCGTGTCACTGGCCTGCAGTCGATAAAGCAGCTTGTGTATTAGAGCTGTTTGAGGGCGCTGCTGGATGCAGCCGGAAATCGTCTCAGAGACAGAGGTTGAACACAGCGAGACGTTTAGTGATTTTTCTTATTCAAATTTGTATCCTAAAAATAAATTATTGTAACGGCCATTTGTGAGCCAAATAAACGTTTACTTAAATAACTAGTTAACAAAAGAAGGGGTGCGTATATTTATTTACACGGAGTGAAACATCCTCATAAATTTCATGCATGCGAAAACTAGTATCGCTCTACACGTTCGGCCCGAAACGGGTTAAGGGCTTACATACACCTTAAATTCAACATTTTTTTTATTTAATTTTTTAATAGGATTTTTTCTCCCCTTTCCATTGCTTTTTTCGAAATTCCAAAATTTTGATTTTGCACTGAGATACAGCTGTTTCCGTGAGCCTATTTCCTATACTTTACGTGTTAAATTTTTTCTTCTTTTGCGTTTTTTGGCGAGTAGTGTTTTTGGTCACCTGTCGTAATATTCAGAGGATACCGATTGAGCTTTCTGCACCAGGGTCGCGTACACTTCTTCAGAACATGAATGGTTACGGCCACTACCACGGGTGAGACGATTGAGCTCATAGATCATTTTCAAAACGTACTTTTATGACTTGAATTTCGGCAAAAACGAAAAATGAAAAAAATTGTGTTTTTAACTGTTCATGCACAGCAACCTGAGTGTTCGGTCGTCTCACCCATGGTAGTGGCCTTAACCATTCATGTTCTGAAGAAGTGTACGCGACCCTGGTGCAGAAAGCTCAATCGATACCCTCTGAATATTACGAGAGGTGACCAAAAACACTACTCGCCAGAAAACGCTAAAGAAGAAAAAATTTAACACGTAAAGTATAGGAAAAAGGCTCACGGAAACAGCTGTATCTCAGTGCCAAATCAAAATTTTGGAATTATGAAAAAAGCAATGGAAAGGGGAGAAAA